TAAATAATAGATTACTAAATAGATCTTTTAAAGTATCTATATTAATAGAAATATCTTCTAGTTTAAGATTATTACTATTTATCTTAGTTATAGGCTTATAGCTACTTATTTGTCTATAGTTATATCTTCTAATAGAGTTTCTTAATATATATAATATATTAAAGTAGCTACTAGAATCTATAACTAGTAACCTTTTATAATCTTCTATAAATCTTAAGGAAAAGTTATCTATAGACTTTTCCTTATAAANTAGATCTATATAGCCTAAAAAGTATAGTCTAGTATTATAGATAAGCTTAGATAGTATATTTTGTATATAAGCTTCCTTTCTAAATATACTAGTTTTAGGCTCTATAATTCTTAGTATAAAAAAAGTAATTAAAGGATTATTAAAGTTACTATCTTCCTTTATATTATAGACTATCTCTATATTTAATAGACTATAAAATAGTTTTAATAAAAGTCTTTTAAGATAGCTATTATTAAGGTCTTTTTTATAGTAAGAACTAGCTAAAGTAAAGATTTCCTTAAGGATATTATTTAGCTTAGTACTAAACTTAGGCTTAAGGTAATATAAGGTATAGAATTCTTTTTTATTACTAGTTTCTAAAGAAGCTTTCTTAGTATAAAGCTCTAGTAAATATATAACTAGTAAGCTAAATTCTTTAAAGTATCCTCTAGTAGTTTTTCTTTCTAAAGGTATAAAAAGACCTAAATCTTTACTATTTTTACTACTTTTATTACTAGTAAAGTATGCATTTTTAAGTATACTTCTTATATTATTAGGTATATCTAGAATAATAGTATTTATTTCTAGACCTAAGTCTATAATAAAGTTATATAAATAATTATAAAAGCTAACTTCTTTTAATAGATCTAAGTTTATAAGCTCTAATAATATAGAAGTATCCTTATCTTCTAGATACTTATTATATCTAGTTAGCTTTATAAAGAAACTTAGTTCCTTATTACTAATAACTCTATTACTAAAGCTAGTAGTAGTAAGATTATTAATAGTACTATTAAAGTCTTCTAATTCTAGGCTTAAATCTATAGACTTAGACTTAGTGCTATTAGAAGCTATAGAGCTATTAGAGCTAGACTTTATAGTATCTTTATACTTTAGATCCTTAGTAGGTAACTTAGGTATAAAGCTTAGCTTAGTACTTTTATCTAAGCCCTTAATTATAAGTAAAGGTATATCTTTTAGATAAGGGGTAGACTTTTTTCCTTTATTTCCTATAATATTATGCTCTTTATTAATATGCTTTCTAATAATATTATTACTAATACTAGTATAAAAGCATTCTAAACATTTAAAGCCGTTTAGATTTAGCTCTAAACTAGGAAAGTAGTACTTATTAGGCTCTATAAAAGATAGACTATTATAAGTAGTATATTCTAAAGTACTTATAGCTTTAAGCTTAGTAGATAAAGTAGTACTAGCTAAGCTTTTATAGTACTTTAGATGATTTTTTTTTAGATGTTTTTTTATAGTTATAGGTAAAGGACTTAAAGTCGTAAGGCATTTAGAACATATAAGGACCTTTAAGGTATCCGAATACTCTAAGAATCTAGGATCTAGTTTAATAGTACTAGAAGGCTCTATACTTTTAAAGAAGTCTTTTCTAAAGTACTTAGAATTATCTTCTAGTAGCTTATTAAGTTCTAAATTAGAATCCATTTCTAGTAGATAATAAAAGACTAGAGTAAAGTAGTCTAACGTATATTTATAAGGTAATAGATTAAGCTTAGTATATAAGACTTAGTAGTATTAAATAATAGTAAGTAATAGGTAGATATTACTAAGACTTATATTAAGTAAATATATTATAGATATAGCCTTATAAAAAAAAGGACTATAAGCTAATATTATATAGTTATAACTAGAAAGATAAAGTATATAGCTTAAAAGCTAGAACTAGTATCTTTATAAATATAGTATAAATAGTATAAAGTTTAATATAGATATAAGTATAGAATCTTTACTTTTTAGAATAAGAATAACTTAAACTAAAGAAATAGAAATATATTCTAGTACCTATAAGTATATAACTTATAAAGAAGGCTTATAAGACTACTATAAGATAAATATAGATCTACTATAGTAATAAAATAAAGGTATTTCTTAATATAGTACTAATAGAAAATTTCTATTAGTAGTATAGTAAGTAATAGCCTTATATAACTAGTAAACTAGTTATATAGCTTTATAGTAATAAGATAACTTAATTAAAAGTTAGAGCTTAAGTATTAATAACTTTATATAGACTTTAAAAAAAGTAGGTTATATATAATTCTAAGAAAAGTATAGTAGAAAAGTAGGGTTAGTATAGTATAGTACTTTTATATAAAAAGTAGCTTTACTATTCTTAGCTTTTTCTAGAATTAAGTTAGTTAATATAGCTTTAAAGATAAGTATAAAGACTTACTATAAGAAAGCTAAGTAAGCTTTTAAGAATAGTACTTTATCTTATTAAGATAGTATATTATCTTATAAAGATAAGTAAATAGTATTAACTTATAGTATAAGGTAATTACTATAAGCTAGCTTTTCTAAAAGTAAGTTAGTTCTAGTAAATATAAAGATATAAGCTTATACTTATAAGATAAAGCTAAGTATATCTTATAATATAGTCTTATCTTATAAGAAAAGAAAGTAATAGTACTTTATATTATAAAATAGCTAAAATAAGTTAGTTAAGTAAAAGGTTTTAGGATAAATTAGTACTTACTATAGTATAGCTATATTTAGTTTAAGAACTATAGCTTATAGTATTTAGAGATAAGTTATCTATAAGAAAATATTAGTAAAGGTAATATAAAATAGTATAAAAAGACTTACCTTAAGTAATAAACTTAGTAAAAACTACTTATAGTAGAATATCTTTTTAGTATAGTCTATAATAAAGTATTAGTATAAAAAAGAAAAGACAAAAAATAAAAGTACTTACCTTAGATTAATATATCTCTAAGAAGAATAAAGAAGTAAAATATACTTAGAAAAGTAGAAAATACTTTTTCTTAAAGTATAATATAAAAAGATATAAAGGTAATCTTATACTTAAGTATATATAATATACTATAAAGTAAAAGAATATTCTTAAGTCTTAGTATATAAGAGATAATATAATAAAGATAGAAGTAAAAGGTAGAAAGAAGAAAAAGAAGTAAGGTTATATAATAAAAAAAGAAAGGATTTTAGCTTTTAGGGCTAATATTATAAAACTAATATATAGGCTATTAAAGCGTTAGATAGATAGACTATAGAAGCGTTAGATATATTAGTAATAAAGCCGTTAAATATATTAGTAATATAGCTGTTAAGTTATTAGCCCTAATACTAGTAGATAAAAGCGTTTAATATATTAGTATTATAAGCGTTTAATATATAGATATTAGCCCTAATATCTTTAGATAAAGCTTAAAGACAGAAAGAAAATCTAAGATAAAAGAATAGGTTTTCCTTTTTTTTCCTTCTTCTTTTTTTATTATCTTTACTTCTATTTTTCAAGGGTTTTATTATACTTATATAAAAAGAAAAATGTCTTTTTCTAAAGGTAAGGTTTATTTTACTCTACTATTTTTTTCTTTACTAACCTTTTATAGATCTTACTACCTTATCTTTTATTAAAGAGTATATTAATAATAGCTCTATAGTAAAGTCTACTAAGCTAGATAATACTATAAAAGCTATTATTAACTCTTTAATTAAAGATAAGAAAAATAGTATTAAGTCTTTTATACTTATAGAATATCTTAATTCTATAAGGATAGTCTACTATCTTAAAAGACTAAAGTACTATAATCTAGAAAAGGCTAAAACCTTTAATAGTAAGTTATATTCCTTTCTATTTCTTTTACTACTTTATTTTTTACTAACTATTTTATAGAACTTATATTTAATACTAATAAGAAGTATAAGTCTATTAATTTAGACTATTCTTCTTATATTATTAAGTATAAAGAAGACCTTTTTCTTAAAAAGGAGTTTTATAAGTTAAACTTATATCTTTTATACTATTCTATCTTATTTAAAGATAATAGTAAGTATTTACCCTTATCCTACTAAATATTATTACTATATATACTAACTTATATACTAGATCTTATTACTAGCTTTTTAGCTAAAGGAATTTTTTCTAAAGAAGAAGTTTCTAAAGCTAGAGATTTAAGCTATAATAAGGATTATACTAGTTCTTTAAAAGAAAAGTTTATATCTAAGGATATCTACTTTCTTAAAGAACTAAATAAGTATAATTCTCTTTATAGTCTTAAAGAAGTTAGTATTATAAAAGATAAAAAGGAAAAGCTTTTACTATTACTAAGTAGTAAAGACCTTTATATTAATTCTACCTTTTATATAGACTTTATCTATAGAGAAATCTATAATAAAGACTATACTAATAAGGTAGAATTAGAAAGAAAGGTAGAAAGAGCTAGTACTAATAGGAAGGAAATTATTAAAAGGATTAAAGATACTATTAACTTAGAAATTTAGCTATTACTTTTATATAATTCTTAGGGTTTAGGGGATTTAGTATTTAGACTACTATAGACATTTAACCGTATCTATAGGGTAAGTCTACCCTTATATCTAGAGGTCCGACTAACTATAATCCGACGAAGGAAGTAACTTAATTCTATTAAAACCCCGCCCGGCGTCGCTCGTCTTAGTACGTAGATAGGACTTAATTCTATTAAAACTTAGTACTTAATTCCTTTAAACTTAACACACTCTAATCCGGCTAAATTTCCGACAGAAAATAGAATATATTAATCCACTCGACTAACTAGAATTTTAAAAGCATAGAACCCCTAACTCTAGGTTAAAAGGTCCCCTACCCTTAGGGCCTTTTCCCCGCATCCCGCCGGCCGATTAGATCCCGCGAGCCGACCTCTAGACCTGCCCTTAGGGCCTTTTCGCCCGTACGCTAAAGTTATTTTTAATCTCTACCTATACGGAGCTAAAAATTATAGCGTATAAAAGTCCGCCTCGACATCTAGCCGGTATACCGATATCTCTACTGTTCGAGCTGTAGTTACGTTATTCGATTATATATTAAAGATAGCTACTCGTCTCTATTCGACGCGACGCTAAGACGCGACCGAAGACTAAAGAGCTCTCCCCGCCCTACCCTTCCTATACGACGACTTATTATAAGAAAGTAAAAAGAAAAAAACATATAAATATATATATATATATAAAGTAGCGTACAAGTAGCACCTCTATACGTAGCTCTACTGCGCTAACCGCCCTAAGCACTTTTCGTACGAGGATTCTTCTCGACCTTAGGTCCTTAGCGCGCGCGCGTATACGCGTACTCTCGATATCGATCGATGTCTCTTACCTCGTACGGAGTCGAGTATAGGCAGGAGTAGGACTGCTTCCTTTATAGCGTATATCGCTTTAGCGTACGGCTAGGCTAGATCGGTACGCACTAGAGTAAGCGACATTAGATTAAGGGTAACCGACTTCGTACTATCGAAGCTCTCTATTAGTCCGTCCGGGCGGAAAACTACTAGAGCTCGTACGAGATACCCTCCTCCTTAGAAGAAGCCGATCTAATTCTCTTTTTTTATAGCGATACGTTCTAGTGTCGGCTCGATAAGTAATCTTATTATTATATCTACTAAAATATCTGAAAGATAAGGGAGCATTATCGTACGGCGTATAGCTAGTTAGAATTTAGTAGGAAAGGTCGGCCGTCTAAGCTCGTACGTAGCCTAGCTCCTCCTACTATACGGACCTAGCTAGCGTAGATTAAAGTATCGTATTAGAGGATCTTTCTATCTAGGCCCGACTTCTATTTTATCTACGTATAGAGTATAGATAGCTTAGACGGAGACGGCGACGGCGACGGCGACGATATACCGCGCTACCCTATACTACCGCTAAGCTTATACGAGAGATACGAAATAGTAGTCTAGTAGTAGAGGGACCGGATTAACGACTTATACGACTATAACGGCGACCGTTAGCTAAAACGAACTAGATAGTAGGGGTTCCTAATTAACTCGACCTGCTCGTAAGTCCTCGAATATGTCGTCGAGCCCTAGCGGGCTTCTCCGCCGTACGAGGGTAAGATATAGGACGCGGTAGTATCGCTAATCGTACGCGCTAAGAAGCTCCTTACGCGTACGAGCTACTTCGTATAGGTTACTATCGTATAGGTCGAGGATAGCTATTACATCTAGTAGCCGCTACAGCTATATTAAGGCCGTCCGTAGCTCTAGAAAGGCGTACGGGCCTAGTAGTAGATCGTGCTCTTCTTTATACGATTCTACCTAGGCGGTCTAGACCTCGCCGTGCCGCTATCCGATATATAGCGAGAGACGCTACGAGGACTAATAGCCGTAGTAGAGGACCCCTCGTATAAAGAGGGGGAGGAAGACGACCGGCGGCAGTCCGGTAGAGACCTAATAGCGACACTAGAGCTAGAACGCGGTATCCTCTTCTTTATTATCTTACTGCTCGATTACGTCGTACGAGGCTAGGAGTACGAGAGCCTAATAATCTACGCTCTCGCCGCGATCGCCGTATAACCGTAAAGATAGCTTAGCGTCGATAGGTACCCGTCTATCCTCTCGGCGCTTATTAAAACATTACGCTATCTTATACTATAGGAGGCGTACGAGAGACTCCTAACTATAATCCGACGAAGGAAGTGACTTAATTCTATTAAAATCCCGCCCGGCGTCGCTCGTCTTAGCACGTAGATAGGACTTAATTCTATTAAAACTTAGCACTTAATTCCTTTAAACTTAACATACTCGAATCCGGCTAAATTTCTGACAGAAAATAGAACATATTAATCCACTCGACTAACCAGAATTTCAAAAGCATAGAACCCCTAGTAGCTATTATATCTGTTTGCTAAAACGTCGTTAAATCTCGAAGTTCGTCGCTACGTATAGGCCTTAATCTTACTCTATATAACATAAAAGGCTAAATCTGCAAAACACTTATCTTACCTACGCGACTAGATCATATATATATACCCCTACGGTCGCTTAGTCTATAAAGTAGTCTACGGTCGTATAGTCTAAGAAGTTGTCTACCGACAACGTTTTATATATAAATACTAGAACTATTAATCCCTTTTATATACCTCCTACAGCCACCTAAATCTCTACTTCTTTTGTTTATACCGCATCCAGATATATAGAAGACTATATATACTACATCCGGCATTAACGAATAATGCTTTACTTTTATACGTAACTTAGGGTCGATTCGCCGTCGTCGGTCCTAGCCGCCGCCTTATATAGTACGAGTGTCTAAGATAAAGGGGAAATCGGCTTATCTAGACTACTTTGTTCCGTTTATAGCGACCGAGATAGCTACTTACGCCGTTATAACCGTCGTACTCGTCTTAATAGCCTTAGTAGAGATAATGATTCGGCCTCCCTAGGCTGGCTCTCTAGCTTGCTACTCCTAGGCGAATCGCGCAATTAGGATAATAACGACGGCGAGCGGTCGGTAACCCGAAGTGTAACTATAATATAATCCAGTTAGGGTATAGATCTGTATCGCGACCTAAAGCAGGGAAAGACGACCTATAGCGGCAATAGATGTAGAAGCAAAAACGCGACCGTCGGTAGAAAGGCAAAAGAAGTCTGCCTAGTACACACTTAATAACTTAGTAAATCCGACACGCTAAATCCGCTAATTCGAAGCGACTATGTTCTATTCGTAATAGCTTAGGGACTTATAACTTAACTGATAAGTCGGTGTTTCTCCCTTCTAATTACGAACGACGAAAGCACTAAAAAAGTTATCTATAGACAACTTCTTATAATAACGATTTTAAGATAGAGCGCCTTTCTTTACACTTTACGTATGTGTCCCGCTACGGCATCTTAATCTATAAGAGCTGCGAATTTGCTATACCGCCTAGTTAGATTAAAAACTACCTTAAGACGCGCTACCCGACTGTAACGCCGGAATTACGTAGCACTCTCTAGGATGCTGTCGACTAATTAGATTATATAATACGCGACAAGTCTTAAATCATTTACCCACCCCCTAGCTTATTACCTATCCCTAGTTTACNTCTTTATTATCTTACTGCTCGATTACGTCGTACGAGGCTAGGAGTACGAGAGCCTAATAATCTACGCTCTCGCCGCGATCGCCGTATAACCGTAAAGATAGCTTAGCGTCGATAGGTACCCGTCTATCCTCTCGGCGCTTATTAAAACATTACGCTATCTTATACTATAGGAGGCGTACGAGAGACTCCTAACTATAATCCGACGAAGGAAGTGACTTAATTCTATTAAAATCCCGCCCGGCGTCGCTCGTCTTAGCACGTAGATAGGACTTAATTCTATTAAAACTTAGCACTTAATTCCTTTAAACTTAACATACTCGAATCCGGCTAAATTTCTGACAGAAAATAGAACATATTAATCCACTCGACTAACCAGAATTTCAAAAGCATAGAACCCCTAGTAGCTATTATATCTGTTTGCTAAAACGTCGTTAAATCTCGAAGTTCGTCGCTACGTATAGGCCTTAATCTTACTCTATATAACATAAAAGGCTAAATCTGCAAAACACTTATCTTACCTACGCGACTAGATCATATATATATACCCCTACGGTCGCTTAGTCTATAAAGTAGTCTACGGTCGTATAGTCTAAGAAGTTGTCTACCGACAACGTTTTATATATAAATACTAGAACTATTAATCCCTTTTATATACCTCCTACAGCCACCTAAATCTCTACTTCTTTTGTTTATACCGCATCCAGATATATAGAAGACTATATATACTACATCCGGCATTAACGAATAATGCTTTACTTTTATACGTAACTTAGGGTCGATTCGCCGTCGTCGGTCCTAGCCGCCGCCTTATATAGTACGAGTGTCTAAGATAAAGGGGAAATCGGCTTATCTAGACTACTTTGTTCCGTTTATAGCGACCGAGATAGCTACTTACGCCGTTATAACCGTCGTACTCGTCTTAATAGCCTTAGTAGAGATAATGATTCGGCCTCCCTAGGCTGGCTCTCTAGCTTGCTACTCCTAGGCGAATCGCGCAATTAGGATAATAACGACGGCGAGCGGTCGGTAACCCGAAGTGTAACTATAATATAATCCAGTTAGGGTATAGATCTGTATCGCGACCTAAAGCAGGGAAAGACGACCTATAGCGGCAATAGATGTAGAAGCAAAAACGCGACCGTCGGTAGAAAGGCAAAAGAAGTCTGCCTAGTACACACTTAATAACTTAGTAAATCCGACACGCTAAATCCGCTAATTCGAAGCGACTATGTTCTATTCGTAATAGCTTAGGGACTTATAACTTAACTGATAAGTCGGTGTTTCTCCCTTCTAATTACGAACGACGAAAGCACTAAAAAAGTTATCTATAGACAACTTCTTATAATAACGATTTTAAGATAGAGCGCCTTTCTTTACACTTTACGTATGTGTCCCGCTACGGCATCTTAATCTATAAGAGCTGCGAATTTGCTATACCGCCTAGTTAGATTAAAAACTACCTTAAGACGCGCTACCCGACTGTAACGCCGGAATTACGTAGCACTCTCTAGGATGCTGTCGACTAATTAGATTATATAATACGCGACAAGTCTTAAATCATTTACCCACCCCCTAGCTTATTACCTATCCCTAGTTTACTGCTCTATACTAACGGCTACCGATGCTAGATGAATGAAACCTTAGGTGACC